AGTATATAGTAGTCTCTTGTATTTTTACATTTTTTCTTAAAATAGTTTGGTACAAAATTAGAATTATCTACTCATATTTCATCGAATGACTCATCAATTTAATTTCTTAGTCATATATCTTTAATTATCCAATCGTGGTAAGGTGATTTAAATGAAAATAAATACAACTGACTGTCTCATTTCTATAGATTGTTGTATTTGTGAGGAGATTTTGTAACAAACGCCCTTAATGCGTTAGACTGAGATCGACATATCCATTGTCTACTAATAATGGCTATGCATAACAATAATTAACCATAATGAATCAATGATGATTCATTGACTCAATTGTATAGAGTTTAAGCAGTTGATTCATTCATACCTGGCAAGTTTTATTGTTCCTACTCTTTGTGAGTCTTGATTTTTAATTATTAAATAAGTTGTCAGTGATAATGTTTCATATATGGCAACACTTGATTAGCAATTATCTATGGTAAGGTTGAATGGTTTGACATAAAGATTGTTCACTAACTTTCACGATTCACCTGTAGTAGTGCATACGATCTAAAATTAGTTTTATAATTATATTAATATTTAACTTGTCTTAAAAATAAATGATACTAATTTTTTATGATAAAAAACTTACTTAGGGTAAGTGATTTGAAATATAACAGACAATTGTTTTCACACAAATTATAAAGATTTGATTTGGATTTTGTAATTAATTAAGCAGCTATATAAAGTATTCAAGTATATATATATATATATATTCTGAAGAAACTAGGAATTAAATCACGTATTACAGCAAAAAGATAACATTTAGGAAAGAAAACTGAATGCAACAAATAAAAATTAGATGAACAAGTGTAACGTATATCATAGGAAGAATATTTCAAGTAAGCATGAAAACAAAAAGGATTCTTTCCATTTAACAGAGTCTCTCTCTCTCTCTCCTTTTTATATTCTTAAGTAATGAGCAGCTTGTAAAAAAACTGATTCATCCATTGCTTTATTTTCACAGAAATAAAACAGCAGATTAATCTATTGTATTTTCATGGCTTAACGTGAACAATCAATTATACGTATATATATATATGTAACAAGCATTAGCCTCTACAATGATGAAGTTTGTTTTTATGACAGGATATAAATCATAAGCTTTTATACGTATATTTCTTGTTAATGTTTTACTAGTCACTACAATAATACATGAAAAGGGTAAATCTGTTTTGTTTGTGTGTCTGTGTGAATCAGTGTGATTAGACCGAAGATGATCTCAGTGTAGCTCTTTCCTAATTTTATTTTTTTCTGTTCATTTTTATTCTTTTTATATTTTATTTGTATGTATATGTGTATTTAGATGTAAATTTTATTTCTTCTTCACATGCATTAGACACAGAGGGTTGAAAACTAATGAATGAAATGGTCACGTCATGATATAATAAGTAGATTGAATGTTGTTGTAAACAATTGTCAATCTTATTGAATTCACTGTAAAAGATAAATACAAAATGAGTATGATTTTTTCAAGCTTTACATCATCATTAAAAAAATTTATACGAAAATAAATAATGAGCGTGCCTGGATACCTTCTAGGATCATAGCTGGTGCAAAGATTGAATAAAGAAGGGTGGTTGGGTATTGGATCGAAAACCCCATCCAAATAGAAGTTAAACTCGCTCAAAAATGCTTATCAGACAAAAATCCTCGCAACCAATTAAATTCTGCACTGGAAATAGGAACGTCCTCGTTTACAACAGTTATCACGTCTCATTGTCAGAGCCGAGTATCTTTGGAAGTCAACAGGTCGATCAACCTTCTCACAATCACAGCAACAATTAACATAAGCACGAAAAATGTTCGCAACACCGGCAGAACCATTCAAGTTAAAGGTACAAAGGTACAAACTTGTGGTACTTTCAATAAGCGAAACACCTTAAAAGCAAGTTGGACGAAAAAGACTAGCGTCAGAAGATATGCTGTTATACTCCAACCATGAAAAGGTAAAATTCCTCACACCTCAAACGAACTGCACTGATGCTGTCTAAAGAAGCCGAATAAGCACCTGTAAGATGGAAATCTCACGGTCAAAGGATCAACAAAGCATCCTTCAAGGAAGAGGGAGAGGGTGAGTACACTGAATATTATCCACTGTTGTGTACCCATCGAACGATAATAATGATGATGATTAAAATGAATGTAGTGAGAGACTGCAGTGCATCGTTGAAAAGATTTCAGTGTCATAAAGTTAAAAAATAGATGTACATTGTTAATGTATGATCTGTCAAACAAAAATGAATGGGTTTCTTGAAATCTCAGAAGCTTATGAAAAACAAGAGTGTAATAGAAAATTATTTAAAATAATAGACATTTTACTAAGAATATTTTGATTTCCGGTGAATTCTGTGAAAATTTCGTTAGATTTTTTCAATTAATCAAATTCATCAATTGTAAAACGAGTTTATAAAAAAAACAGTTATAAATGATGTTTAAATCTATTTTGATTCTTGAAGGTAATATTTTAAATACTACATTTTTCGGTGAACAACTTAATATGCAGAAGATGTGTTCCTATTTTTGTTTTATTCCTGTTTCTCTTAATGGTATTTACAGTTTCTTTAATAATTTTATATGTAGCTGGAGACAGTCAGTAGATCTCAGATTTTGAATTCTTTTTAGCTCACATACTCCAGCAAGGCTTACATGTAATTTTGATGGAACATGCACTTCCTGAAGGTTCGAACTCGTTTGAGTTTCATCCACACAAAACAACAGATCGTTCTTTTTTTCACTCTTACATTTCATTATTCTTGTGTAGGTACGTATTTTACTGTGTTGTTCAGTTTGATAATTGTAACAGAATCTATTCAGTAGTTAAATAAGAAATGTTTATATTTTTCAACTGTTTTTTTTTGTATTGAAAACATTTACGAATTGATTGGGAACTTCAATTTTTTTCTACAATATTATCGTTTCTTCCGATTCTTCATTTACCGTAATATTTTTTTTCTTACTTTGCTTATCAACAACATTAGTTCCGTATGATAACTAATTTTTCCGAATCGGTTGACAAAGAGAGAGAGAGAGAGAGTTAAAATGTCTTAAAATATATTCCAAATAGCAGATTTCGGTTGAAAAGCGGACACATGAGATTGATGATTGTTTGCAACAGTGAGGGCTTGTCTTTCCCTAATTTGCTTGAACGTTTCCTGACTTAACGTGTAAACATATACAAATATGCATAAATCATTACATTTATGAGATATAAGGAATGGTAAATGTTCAATTAATCATTGTGGTCGGAAAAAAAAATATTAAGAGTTTCTTGGTCTCCATTAAAAATAATGGAGTTGTACATATGATTTCACTCATTAATATTATTTCAAACTTAAATAGGCTGTTTAGATTTATAAAACTAGATAATTGACAAATAAAACAAAGCAAACAAGATAAGTGTTGATTTGTGTAGAAGATTCAAATTCTACTTAAATTAAATCAGCTGACATTTCTATCATCGTCTTTAACTGACTGACCTTATTGTAAGTCATATTATGCATAAATCTAGTCATTATACAGATGAACACAAGAAGACAAAAGACGACGACAGATGGGACACACCTGGAATTTAAATACAGTTACACCATATATATATTTGAATAATCTACTGTTACCATAGAATGATGATAACGAAGTGATTGCATTTTTGTTGTTGTTGTTGCATACGTTAGATAATAAAAAGGACACATAAATATAGAGAGGCATAAATAAATTCTTTTTTATTTATTCATAGTTGTTACACATGTAGACACGTGTTCAAATTTAGACCTGTGAGTGTAAAAAAATAATGTATTTCTTCTATGTCACCACTACGCCATACCATGATTATTTCTATGTATAGCTTGTTGGGAATTTTCGATCAGATAATTATACTTTATGCAAAAGAACAACAAAATCGGATGAAATAATATTTTTGGACATTTTTGCTTACAAGGAAATCGATATCGCCTAGACATTATGGAAAATGGGAACTTGATAAATTATGTAGTAGAATGATTAGTTACATTCCCACATTCTTGGTTCATACTTGGATAAAAGGTCTACTATGAAAGATCGATTAAATATCATGGGATGGAATGATGAACTAACCGTTTTTTTTTTTTTGAAAAAAAATATAGTTCTTATCTAATCGATCATCTTGGATCGCTTGTACTTCACTCTAATTAGTTGGTAATGAAAAGAATAAAAAGGAGGGAAATCAGTATGGTATTATTTTCAGATCATAGTATATTTATGAAGTAATTATATTTTGTTGTTCAGTGTCATTTACTTAATGTGAAACTTTTGGTCATTTTTAAATGGCACAAACATGATGCAAAAAAAAAATAATCTCTTATCGTGCAATAATGAAATGGAAATGATATAATGTGAATTTTAGATGCTGCTTTGTTCATCTACGCTTATTTATTATGAAATACATTCAATGAAACTATGTAATGAATGATCCATGCAATAGTAGAAATGTTTGCAATATTTACCCAAATTAATCAAGACATTATGATAAGATCATTGTCCTGTAACATTATAATCTGAAAACTTTGTTCGTTTCATTTTACTTTAATAAATGAACAATAAAGTACATTAATGTACGAAATTCTACGTTGTAACTGACTGACTGAATTGAACATAAAATCCAATATATATATATATAATTGAAATAAAATCTTGGTAACAAATGGAAAATTTGTTTGTCTCTTTTAAAATGCGAGCTAATGAAAAAATTTTTATTTAAACATCCTAACTATACCACCATAACATATGAAAACATTTTCAAGTAATTTAAAATACATATCATGTCTTTGGTAATTACAGCCTAAACCCTACAGCGTTGAACTCCGAGAATTTCCTCACGAACTAAAATGGTTCAATCCCTAATTCTAGTTACGCCTGATATAAGTGAATATAATATCTTTAGTATTTGATGCCTCATCTTGTTTTTTTTTTTTTGTAAAATTTAATTACAGAAGTGGATTGTACAGTTAGTGAATGGGGACCATGGACAAGTTGTGAATATGCATGCGGTCAAAGTACTAGTACACGTTACAGACAAGTACAAATTAAACCAAGTAATAATGGTAAACCATGTCCAGAGTTGAATGAAACAAAACCATGCATTGGATATAATTGTGCATCAAAAAGATTTGGAAGATCTGGAACACTGATGGTACCTTATGTTTATGATATCAAAGGTAGATTATTCAATGTTCATTTTCATCATTACATATATATGTTATTGTTAAATTGTTGTATTGAAATGAGTAAATTCCTTGATTATAAGCGGTAGAATCCTTGTTTCAAACAAACACATGTTTCATTGATTAATTCAATTCAAGTAAACAAACTGGTGAACCGTCTATTACTGTTTTTAATAAAAAAAAACAAAAAAAAAGAATTAATTTAATGCCTACTTTTCATTGTCTCTCATATGACAGTGAAACACTCCTTTTCTTAAAGGCTAATAAAAATTAAAAAAAGAAGGCCCAGTGTATGTGTACAAGGTCAAGCAATGACTCATAGTTAACTGCCCGAAATACCTTATTTATCATTTTTGACCTTTATGCAATGATACGAAAACAATTCGTTCATATGTACAGCACATACCAGAAATAGAAAACTATTCATCCAAAAAACGGGTTTCATTGATACATTTCTAAATAAAACTAGTAGTAAATAAAATTGTACTAACATAGAAAAAAAAGAAGAGAGAAAAATAAAAAATTTAATCTGCAAACAAAAAAAACGCTTGTATCCTTGCTTCACCTCCTAATTTGTAATGAACAGAAGACATGTATTTTTACATTTTATTCATCTACTCTACTACATGAGCAGATTTACTGTGTCACTTGATAGATTCTATCTTGGGTTTAAAAATTGATTTTGTTTTTTGTTTTTACATGATACACAGTGGTGCATTTACACAACTAAACACATCTACACACATATGCTTACCAAATTTCCATTTTCTTAGTAAACAGAATGATAGTTGTTGAACAAGATAACACCCTGGAATCAATAGAAATTATTTTCACAAATATTATGTATAAACAACAATTAACAGTGTAATATTTTTTTTTTACAGCCTCATAATGTAGACTGATCAGTTGGGATATTCAATTAATTTTTCTTTATATGAATGAATGAATGAATGAATCAGCAAATGGCATTATTATTATCAATATAGACCGGTATCCATTACATGAAATGGTGATAATGAGGTGTAGGAGAAATAGAAGGCGATTTTTTAGTATTGTCAAAGTTTGTAATGTGTTTTATTTCTTACAAAAACTAGACAATGAAAATTTAAACGTAGCAATAAAAATGAATAGCAATGAAATCAAAGAGTAATGTAAGAAAGACAATGACAAGTAAACAAGTCAAGGTCATGTGGTTGTGTGTGTGTTTCGTCAGTTATCATGGCGGCCAAAAGAAATTTGCATGATTCGGTCAGATTTTAATTATCGTTTAATAGGGAATTATTATCTGAGATAGCAGTTGACTATTTTGTTGTTGTTAAGCATCACGTTTGTTAGAAACGAATTCTAAGTAACAATATCTAGTAATTATATATCATTCAATAATGAATGGATAAGAGAGGCATTAGGTAGCTAAGTCGATTCTTGTAAAATAGGTTACCACAAGACTTTGTGAAGATAAAGAGACTATTATACTTCTTCTAAAATAAAAGACATTACTTCATAGAACAAAAAAGTGAAGATGAATTTTTATCGTCTGAAACATAATTGAAAGTAATACAATGAACTGGTCAGTATATTTTTAAAAATGGTGTATTAATTGTGCATAAAGCACTTATTGACTAGTTTATAAAACAAACAAAACTATGAATAAATGTAGTAATTATTAATTACTAATGAATTGGACTTAAGACATTTCACTATGTTAAAGGTTGCTGTAATAACTCTACCAATAATGTGTCGTTTTTTTATTAAATTTTTATGAATTCTTAATCTTGTATCAGAGCTGCCCCGTTTCTTTTATTCAATGGAACAGAGAAAATTGAACAAGATTTACATAGATATCGTTGTTAACTAGACAAATATATCATTTTTACTGAATTTTTTCATTACTTAGTCAAGCTAGCTAGAGGATTAATTGAAATATGATTAATAATAACTGACTATTTCATCCGTGGACCATCTTAACAATGTTGAGTTTTGGTTTATTAATCTTAAATCGACAAAATGGTCATTTTAGAGCACTTTTTTAAAACGTTTTGTCCATTATGCTAACAAGAAGCTGATTTTATGAACCAGAAGTTATAGTATTTTGATCAATCTTTAAAACTGATTCTTTCTTCCTCTTTGAAACTTCATCAGTAATTAATTTGATGAGAAATTATTTCATTTAGCTATTTTCAACAGTTATATTATCATATTGATTGTATTGAATCTAATAATAATACCAATAAAAAAAACAAAACAATGAACAACCTCCATTATAAGGCGAACAAGTGAAGAACTAACCACTTGTCTAAATTTATGCTGATTAAATTTTTTTTTTGGAATATATCAAACAAGCAACATCTGTCTAATGTTTATCACTTTACCAGACTAGAAATTCCAAAAGAATTCCTTAGAAAATTTATGTAATCATAATGGTCTTACTTATGTAATTCGTTTTGTGAATATTGAATAGATTTGTAAACTAACGTTTCATCGTTTGTTGGCCATTTTTTCAAAAAGAAAAACATAATTCTATAAACCGTTATGAACATCAGACTTTATCGATCATTCAATGAAATAGCTTCTTTTTCAGAGAAAAAAAAACACTTGTTCACACTTATTTCTTATCCATATATATTTGTCTGTGAAGAAACTAATAATTAGTACAGGAATTAATTGTGGAATTTCTGTGACTCTACTGAAACCTATCAATCAGCTTTAAGTGTTTATCAATTTTCGGTTGTCATTATAGGCTGCAGAATTAATTAAAATTAATGAGTTACAGAAAAATGTTTTAGTTCGAGTTCAGGATTATCGAACTCTAAGAAATCGAATCACATTCACAGCGTAAATTAACATGGTATTCGTCACTACTCGGTGTTTAATCATTTATAAATACCTTAACCACATAGGATATCAATAGTGGATTGACCAACTCAGTGCTTGTGCCTCAGACTGTGAAGCTGAGCGATATGGATTTGAACCTCATAATGAAAATTAGCTTCCAAATGATTGCAGGTTCGTCTTTTTGATTAGTACCAGCCACCACGAAACCGATCTTCAGAGTTTCCCATTGACCAACCTCAACTGCATGATATCTGAGTCTAATATACCTAATGTCAGGTCATTTAGACCAACGGTCATACTAAGATTTTATCGAATGGGTTTGATAGGCGCCAAGGGACAAGCATCACAATGGTCATTACTCATTTGTAAGTCGATTTGACCATTCGATAGTACCATCTGATAACTTTGTAAAGCGTTCACTCTAGAATATCTGCAGTTAAAATATTAAATTACTGCATAGGGATTCGTTTCATATATAATAAACTAGTTTTTAATCTAAAATTCAAAACACTTAGTCCCTTTTTATAAATTTTGATAGAACAATGAGAAGAAGTACTTGATCTGAAAAATGTGATGTATTTGAGCCAAATATTTCAAACAATCTTGTTACACATATACTTGTCAAGGAATTTTATATGAAATTAATAAAAGATCAATTTAATAAAAGTCGAAATAGACATTGTAAATAAGTGGGAGAGAAAATTAACGTAATACAGAAAGAAATAGGAAAGGTAGGAAATCATCACATTACGCTGGGCCATAAAATGGCTTAAATATTGAGATGGTGGAAAAAACTTGTAGCTCAGGTGGATGATTGTGGTGGTGTTTCGTTCTCTGAGCTGTTAGAAGTTTGTGCTGATGATGTTGTTCAGAAGAACAATGAAAGCTCCACAACCGAAACAACCAGCTCAGAGGCTTAAGTATTACCAGGGTAAATTCAAGGCATCAAGCAATTATCACCTCAATCATTTGTTTGCAAAACATTGGTTCAAACTTAAGATCACTTTGAATTCATCTTTGGCCTAATGTTTTCTACCTAAATCAGTGATTTTGTTGATCTTTTAGTCTGTGTGATAATCATTGGTTACTTCTAATAAATTGCATATAGTCTGGAATATTTTACTATGTAATATTGATTGATAACATTTAATTTTGTGTTCTTCCTACACCCTTATTTTACATTAGCTGAAGTGGCACATTTACTGCCTGTACGTGGAGATGTATTGGATTTAACTAGACGTTATGATATGCGTTTTGATGTTCGACGTAAACTCTACCTTGGTAGATTAATCAAAATGAATAAGACTGAACAACCAGAACCTGATCCGTAAGTAACAACATGACGTTTTTCAGGTTTTCAGTGTATTCTTCTTATAACGTACTTATTTTCCATTGAAATAATAACAAGGTACATTGTTAGAAAATTTGTTACAATGTTTTTAGACATTATTGTATATAGTTAAATATATTACTAGAAAATATAATAACTCATCAAATTGATATCACCTTTGCCCGAATTAACACATAATCAGTGGAATCTAGTGTTTGCTACTTTTTTTCAACGAGTCTTCACTGTTCAACAGTGATCAAGATGATTCTTTCGAAACTCTTTTCTAAAGACGACAAGCAATATATCTGTGAACCAATTTGATGATCATTCCAAAGTTTTTTAAGTTATGTTTGATCTCGGTTCACTTAATACATTCAAGGTGCCTACTAGATATACAAACAATAAAATCAGAAGTATAATTGTTTTTTAAAATCATTTGATGTGACTCAATAGCCAATCATATGTCTGTATATTTGACTCCAAATCATGCGTTGTTTGTAAAGATAAACAATACAGCCTAGCTCCCGGAAAGGTGAACTAGATAGTCCGATTTTGAATTTATAAATTAACAACGAAAAATCGAATGCTCAGTTGTACAGCATGAGTTAATGTATACATTATGTGAAGTAAAAAGTTTGAACAAACTAATCAGCATAGCTGTAAGGACGAAATGCCACTTATTTGATGATCATCTGTAGGTAAGGCAGTCCTTGAGTTTTTTGAATGACAATCACATAGTTTTACCAGTTTAGACGTTGTATCTAACTATTTATGAATCTGACCATAATAAAAAGCAACATTACTGGTTCACTTATACATATATTTTAATGAACAGCATTCTATTCATAAACTTCCATGACATAATAAAATAATTGATATTTACTTATGTTAGAGTTGATATGCCAACAATTAGACAGTTCATAATCATAACTTACTAATAATAGACTAAATTGATAATGATATTATGATAGGAGATCAAGATATCTATGCTATTCAGTTAGACAATGATAATAATGAAACATTCTTTCATGATATTAAGAACAATCATTTCAATGTGTTGTTTATAAACAAATACTTTCTATGACTAATACAAAGATAATGAATAATTATGAAAGCAAATCTTACAAAAGTTATTCAACACAATGTAAGCATGACATGAATACATTTTCTCTTGATACCTTTATCCTCATTCTTACTGCTTGTGTTATTGTTCAAGTATATTAGAGAAATGTCGGTAGTAAAAATGGTTACTGATAAGATAATACTTCAAAATGTCATCAGGTTGAAATAGTTTTGTAAAATGTATAATATAGACCAATATATTCCAGGGTTATATATATATATCGACGAAACCACCTGTCAATATTACAATAAATATAAAAGCTGTTAATGGATAAATTCTGTCATTAATAAAGGCCCGTTAACCAGCTGTAATAATATTAATAATACTGTTATGAAAACTATTTAATATGATAAGCGTGAGTTAATAATGGCAAGCCGATTTTGAACAAAGATGGTAAATCGAATCTGAAAACCAGGCAAATATTTTTGCATAGAGTAAGTTTATGCTATTAGAATTATCATAGAAATCTAGTTAATACTGAACAGTGGTTTCTTTTGTCCTTTGAGGCTCTTTTTAATGACACAGTTATGATATTTGTATGACCACATTCAATGCCATCGGTATTGTATTTTTTTAGGCTTGTATAATGGTGACGATTGTAGTGTCAAACATAAACTGTTAACCCTAAATCTCAATTCAAAATAAATAATGTTTAGTTGTTATTTACTGACACTTGTTTTCTTACAACTTTCAGGTATTGTGCAGTATATGAGATTACACATACAAATCAAGCTTGTCGGTCACAGAATTTGTTATGGCAATCTTCATCGTCCCGTGATCTGTATCCTTCGTATTATTATCCTAACCGTTATAAACGACACAATGGTTACAATGGAAACTCAATTACTTTTAGCCGTAAATCATTTCGCCATGGAAGACAATACAATGCACTTGAAAATACTGATTTGAATAAAAATTGGGAAGATGATTATTCAAATTCCAAATCATGGATAACGCATTCAGCGTTACTTACACCAGGTCAACAAATCTGTGTGACATGCTATCCGACATATATGCGGGAAGATTTAGGCTACAGATGCACAGGATCTGGACTACCGAATGTCGAGACTAGATGGCGTGCATTGCGTACTTCTGATTGTCAAGGCCGATTCCGTATGGTTAGTATACCGCAAAGATCGTGTACATGTGGTCGAGGCGTTGCATCATTCGTATTTGTCTAGTGAACAGATAAATCCATACAAGATCTTATACGTATTTACTAATTAATCTTTCCAATACAAACGTAAATCCACCACATGTATGTAGAGAATGACATATATACACAAATTTTGCACTGTTTTTTTTTGTCCGTTTATCTTCAAACATAAAATCTAAATTATGACTATAATTTTATAATATACACATTGCCTAGGATGTTTACAGTTGTTAGCTAAATAATAACTGAAACTTACTAATTTTTTATTCCCTAATATTGGTGTTACTTTAGGCCAATCTTTCATATTGATATGTTTATTCATTTTCATACGAATCTTAAAGCACTTACTTACACTGTCAGATGAGGTTATTTGATCAGACAAGACTGTTTTATTAGCAGACATTAAATTAAATTATGAATTGAAATATTCTACTGCTTTTTGTACTTTGAATATTCAAATGTGTTTATGAATTTAACAAATTTATACATAAATAAAATTTCTTATATCAGGGTCACATGTTTAGGTGTATTGTTATATTAATTATTATTATTATAATTATTACTATTATTATTTTGAAAGTTCAATCATCAGGTCAAAAAAATGATTAAAATTCGCTGCGCTAGTCAAGATTATGCAATACATGTTTTGTTTAAATTTCACTCAAGGTCATTAGTGTCATATTTTTTCTCTCCAATTTTTGTTGGTCACCTTCCAAGAAAAACAAAAATTCCACAGAAAATTGTGCAATCAGCATATTAGCTTGTTTCATGTTGTCCAAAATTTTATATTTTATAAAAAAACAACAACTTAATGAATGTAACTGTTGACTGTTTATTTCAGTGTTTATTTTCTATTTGTTTATCTTTTTTTCTGTTAAATTTTCGCGCACAATATTTCTTTAACATGTTTACTCCGTATAACTTCTTCAAATTTTTGGGTAAATTCAAATGAATTTAAACACTTTTGCAATAACTTTCTTTTTGTTCCAAGAAAGCAAAACTAGCGCACAGAGTCTCTAGAACGAAGAGTGATTCACTATTTATGAGCTTGTTTTAAGTTTTGCTTAAATGTGTATGTATACGCATATTTAAATACAATTTTAATTGTCTATTTTGATTTTGTGTGCATATGTATCGTGTAGACTTTTCGTCTCATCTTTGTTTGGTTTTTGATTTAACCAATGTTAAATCAACATATACTATCTTGAATTTCTTAATTATTCTTGAATATATATTAATCACTGTAATTGATTATTTGATATTTATTGAAAAAGGTAAATAAATTTTCTAATGTTTATTATTACACTGGTTACTATGACACGTTATTTGAATATACACGTGCATTAAAGCCGTGAATATTTCTAACTGATAATCTTTCGTTTCATATCGATTACATTCTATCAAATGATATCGTTTCACAAACGGTATTCTTTTAGTCTGTTTATTTAGTTCAGTAAGCATTTTTTAAAATGATTAATTCTTAATGTCCTCTTGCCATTTTTCAGTTATATATATATATATATGTATTTTTTATTGTGCTTCTCTTGTCTTCTCTCCAGCTTCTTGTTGTAACAAAACAACAACAAAGTATTATGATTGAAGTTAATCATGCAATTGTTTTTATTGTCACTAATATTGTTATTATGAGTAATTATTATAAAAATTTAATTAAAAAAAAAACGGTTGTATTTTTGAAATTTGTACAAAAGTTACGAAGTGCATTATACAAATACACGGCTTGTATGTGAAATACCCCCAGAGAGAATAAGAGTTTGCGCACTAGTCTATTTGTAAATACTAAACAATTACTAAACTATAACTACTAGGGAGAATAGATGAAAGTGTGTTCTTTATGTTAGCCACTATAAAAAAGTGAATTGTTAAGGTGTTTCATGGTTGCTTTGAGGAAATTAAGTTGAGAATAAGCGTGGAACTACAAGTTTCAATTATCAAACCAATCATGAAGGTAACATTGGTTCAGTGTTACTGAATGAGTATTGTGCTTCGTTGCCAGTCTGTCGAAGATGAAAATATCGATGTTCGTATACTACTAGCTCAGTAGTCTGATGCTAAATATTTTATTATGAGACCGAATGATCTTGAGTTTGAAACTTGACAGTATCATAGATGCACACTCCGGAGGAGTTACATACTCCAATAGTTGTCCAGCTTTACTACGTTAACAATAGCTCCCAATTTTCTTCAGTCTGCCATATAAGCTATCAAAAAATTTTAATTTAAAATGTGTCTATCTAATAAAAACATTCTGACATTTTTTATGGTAAGGTGAAAACTATGAATTGAGAATCATTTAAAAAAAGTTGTTGCAAATGTTTTGGAATTCTACATAATTAATTTGAACTTGTTCCGTACATTCTACAAAATAAAAATAATTCACTATTATCTATCGACAAAGTAATTGATAATAGAAATTGACAAACCTAAATATAGCGTCGTCTACACTCCAATCGATCGAATTTAGCTGACACTTAAATCTGACGGACATAACAGTAGTAATTATAGTCTAATCGATCAGTCTATTTAATGAAGAATTTTAAGTGTCATTGGTATACAGTAGTGCGATTTGAAATTATGGACTGGAATAATTAAATATATATATATATATATATATATATATATATATATATATGTATATATATATATAGTGTGCTAGTTATAATCTACTGTCTATTATACGCCAGATTGTGGAACAGACAACTGCAAATGTAATAAAAGTGAAATTTAGTTAATTTTAGTAACAAAAGATGTTAAAAATACAGAATCTGTAGTTTATTTAGCAGGATGTAAAAGATAACTGAAAAATGTTATTAGGAAAGGATAGTGTATTGATTGGTATAGTGTGATATTTATTGAATATAGTTAGATTTATCATAAATAATTCAGTGTAGCATACACTTCTATGCCAATTACGTCAATAAATTATGATATTTGTTGACTATTAATCAAATGCCGGTAAAATCTACACACAGATGAACATCTTCAGTTATAAAAATGTCTTCATGTTTTTGATGGAATAATTGTAAGTTTTCCTAATATCAGTAATTGTTTTCTTCTTTAGGTAGTACATAAATATTTCTACATTGTGGAAAAATTAATTTCAAACACTATATAGAGGTATTCATATTAAGTAAAAATTAAAAAATTAAAAATTAAAACTCTGCCCGGAGCTCCTCTGGGGCTACTGCCGGTTCTAAACCGAGAAAAGGAGAAGGGCCAGGAATGGAGTTGGCGACCCCATCCCACAAACGAACTAACTCGCTAATAAGCGCTAACCGGAAAACATAATTTAAACCATTTGAACTCTGCCCTGGGAGTTACAAGAAGAATTATGACGTCGCGTGATGAAAGCCGAGTTCCCTCGGAAGTCACGAGGCTGATGCCTCTTCTGACAACCAGAGCAACCATTCTTTTAGATACACGGAACGTTCTAAAATTCCGGGCACTGGAAGACTATTTGAAGTTGCGGCAGAAATGAAAAGATACAACCTCGAGGTGCTCGGCATCAGTAAATCGCATTGGACACAGGTAGGACAACTGAGACTAGCTTCAGGGGAACTGCTGTTATACTCTGATCATGAAGAGGAAAATGCTTCACGTGCACAAAGAGTCGCACTGATGCTGTCCAAACATACACAAAAGGCACTGATAGGATGGGAATCTCATGGACCCAGGATCATCAAAGCATCCTTCAAAACAAAGAAAGAGGACATTACAATGAACGTCATCCAATGTTATGCACCTACCAATGACTACAATGACGACGATAAAGGTCAATTCTACGAAAGGCTGCAGTCAATCGTCGAGAAACGCTCACCAAAGGATTTGACCATTTTGATGGGAGTCCTAAATGCCAAGGTTGGCATGGACAACACTGCACATGAAGACATCATGGGAAGACATGGACCGGGAGGAAGGAACGAAAACGGTGAGAGATTTGCAAACCTATGTGCCTTCAACAAACTGGTCATCGGTGGCACAATATTCCCACACAAACGCATACACAAAGCCACATGGATTTCACCGAATCACACTACTCAGAACCAAATTGACCATTTATGTTTCAAACAAATTTCAGAATGACTATGGAGGATGTGAGAACCAGGAGAGGAGCTGATATAACATCAGATCACCACTTACTGGTCGCTAAAATAAAACTGAAACCCAAGAAACACTGGACAACGGGGCAGACAACATCACGGAAGTTTGATACAGCCCTTCTTCGGGATACCTGAAAACTCAACGAACTCAAGATAGCCCTCACCAATAGGTTCCAGGCCTTGCACGATATACTCAATGGAGAGGAAGCAACATTGGAGAACATTTGGAAAGGGGTCAAAGAGGCAACCACTTCAACATGTCACGAAGTTCTGGGTCACAAGAAGTACCATCACAAGGATTGGATCGAAGTAGCATCCACGGACCTCTAAATAGATGTCGGCGCACCTACAATTGAGGAGATCAGTATGGCCATCAGACAAATCAAGAGTGGCAAATCAGCTGGACCAGATAACATTCCAGCAGAGGCAATCAATGCAGACATGACAGCAACAGAGAAAATATTTCACATTCTCTTCAAGAAGATTTGGGATGAGGAACAAGTACCATCAGACTGGAAAGAAGGATACCTCATCAAAATACCAAAGAAAGGAGATCTCAGAAAGTGTGAGGACTACCAATGTGGTGCTGTGTTGCGAACTACTTATAAGTAGTATATAGCGTGAGTGTCAACGTAAAGTCTGGTAGCATAATATGGGGGGAAGATCAAGAAAGGAAGAGTCAGAAAACAATGGAATTTGTATGAAACGCATGAAGAGTGACAATGGATTGATGTTTGGCAACAGGAACAGTCCAGTTCCATAGAATGAACTGATCTTTTGCAAATGAACGATTTACAATATGGTTTTCCGATTTTACTGACTAACTCTGTAATTTTCGTTAAATACAATTCGGTTGCCCCCATCTGTGTTCTCATTCACTACACAGAGGCATCACTCTTCTTTCAATACCAGGCAAAGTCTTCAACAGGGTATTGTTAAACAGAATGAAGGACTTCGTAGACGCCCAACTTCGAGATCAACAGGCCGGATTTCGTAAGGATCGATCGTGTACTGACCAAATTGCTACATTACGGATCATTGTGGAACAATCAATTGAATGGAACTCACCACTCTACATCAACTTCATCGACTACGAGAAAGCATTCGATAGCGTGGATAGCAAAAAACTGTGGAGGCTTCTTCGACACTACGGTGTGTCTGAGAAAAATAGTTGACATCATACGGAATCCTTATGATGGATTCAACTGCAAAATCGTGCACGGAGGACAGCTAACAGAC